TCTATTGTTGTTGCTCATTTCTTCAGTCATGTCTCTCTCTTCATTATTCCATGGACTATAGAATGACAGGCCCTTCTATCCTCCACTGTCTCCCAAAGTTTGTCCAAGTTCATGGTTGTTGCTTCCATGACACTTTCTATCCAGCTAATCTTCTGCCATCCTCTTCTCCTTTTTCCTTCAATCTTTCTGAACATCAGGGTCTTTTCCAAGAGTTCTGTTTTCTCACTAGTGGCTAAAGCATTTAAGCTTCAGCCTCAGTGCTTGTCCTTACAGGGAATAGTCTGAATTAATTTCTTTTAGTATTGACTGGTTTGATCTCCTTGCTGCCCAAGAGACTCTCAAAAGTCTTCTAAGCACCACAGTTTGAAAGTGTTGATTCTGTAATACTCATCTTTCCTTATAGTCCATCTCTTACAGCCCTACATTACTACTGGAAAAACCATAGATTTAACTATATGGACCTTTGTTGACAATGTGATGTTTCTGCTTTTTACTATGCTATCTAAATTGCCTTAGCTTTCCTTCCAAGGAATAAACATCTTTTAATTTCATGGCTGCAGTTGCTGTCTTCAGTGACTTTTGAGCCCAAGGATATAAAATCTGACACTGCTTCCATTTCTTCTCCCTTTATTTGCCTAAAAATTATGGGACCAGTTGCCATGATCTTAGTTTTTTTTTTTTAAGTTAAACTTCATCAAGAGGCTTCTAATTCTTCTTTGTTTTCTGCCATTAGAGTGGTATTGCCTGCATATCTGAGATTGTTGATATTTTTCCTGGCAGCCTTAATTCTAGCTTTTGATTCATTCAACCTGGCATTTCATATGATGTACTCTGCATATAATTTAAATACATAAGGTAACAATATATTTACTCCTTTCCCACTCTTAAACCAATTAGTTGTTCTATGTTTGGTTCTAACTGTTGCTTCTTGACCCACATACAGATTCCTCAGCAGATGAGTAAGAAGATTGGTACTCCCATCTTTTTGAGGACTTGTCACATTTTGTTGTGATCTATACAAAGACTTTAGTGTAGTCAATGAAGCAGAAGTAGACGTCTTTCTGGAACTCCCTTGCTTTCTCCGTCTTCCAGTGAATGTTGGCAATTTAGTCTCTAGTTACTTTGCTTCTTTGAAAACCAGCCTGCACTTCTGGTAATTCTTGATTTACGTATTACTGAAGCCAAGCTTGCAGAATCTTAAGCATAACCTTGCTGGCATGTGAAATGAGTGCAATTGTTCAGTAATTTGTACATTCTTTTGCATTACCCTTCTTTAGGATAGGGACATAAATCTTTTCTAAGTCAGTGGCAACTGTTGAGTTTTCCATATTTGCTGGCATATTGAATGCAGATCTTTAACAGTATTATCTTTTAGGAATCTAAATAGCTCATCTGAAATTCTGTCACCTCCACTACCCTTATTGTTAGCAGTGCTTCCTAAGTCCCACTTGACTTCATTATCCTGGAAGTGTGTCTCTAAATCAGTAACTACACCATTGTGGTTATCTGTGATATTAAGATCTTTCTTGTATAGTTCTTTTGTATATTCTTGCCACCTCTTCTTAATCTCTTCTGCTTTGTCAGGTCTTTACCATTTTTGTCTGTTATCATGCCCATTTTTGCATGAAATGTTCCCTTGATGTTAAGTCCTTACAATTTTTGTTTTTTATCATGCCCATTTTTTGCATGAAATGTTTACTTGATAACTGTAATTTTCTTGACGAAAGTTCTTGTCTCTCCTATTCTTTTTTTTTCTTCTATTTCTTTTCATTGCTCATTTAGGAAAATCTTATATCTCCTTGCTATCCTCTGGAATTTTACATTCAGTTGAATATGTCTTTCCCTTTCTCTTTTCCCTTTCCCCCGCTTCTTTCCTCAGCTATTTGTAAAGCTTTATCATATAGTCATTTTGCTTTCTTGCTCTTCTTTTTCTTTGGGATTTTTTTTGGTTGTTGTTGCTGCCAGTTATCTACAACCATATTTTAAAATTTACTAATTAGAGAAATGCAGATTAAAGGAACTCTGAGGTTCTATCTCACACCTATGAGATTGGAAAGGGTGACAAAAATAGAAAATGATGAATATTGGAGGGCTATAGGAAAACAGGCACATTAATGCATTGTTAGTTGAGTTGTGAATTGGTCCAGCCATTCTGGAAAGCAATTTGGAACTATGATCCCTAAATTATTAAACTCTAAATGTCCTGTAATACAACTATGGCAATACTAGGGCTATAGGACTATACTTCACAAGGCTCAAAGAAGAGGAAAAGGCTCTCTCTCTCTCTCTCTCTCTCTCTCTCTCTCTCTCTCTCTCTCATATGTATCTGTAGATATAGAGACATCTATAAATATATAGATCTCTCTCTCTCTATATATATATATATTTCACATCAGCTCTTTTTTGTGGTGGAAAAGAACTGTAATCTAAGTGGATACCTATCAATTGGGGGAATGACTGAACAAATTATGATATATTAATATAATGGAACATCATTGTGATATAAGAGAAATCTGGGAAGACTCATGTGAACTGATGCAAAATCAAATGAGCAGAACCAGTAGAATAATTTATACAATAACCATAACATTGTAAAGATGAACAGCTTTGAGATTTAAGAACCCTGATCAATGCAAAGACAAACCATGATTCTGGAAGACTAATGATGAAACATGCTATCTCACTTCTGACAGGGAGGTGATAGATTCAAGATGCAGAATTATATATATATATATATATATATATATATATATATATATATATATATATATATTAATATGGTCAGTGTGGGAATTTGTTTTGCTTGACAATTCATTTTTCTTACAAGAGTTTTCTTGTTATTTTTTTTCCAGTGGGAGATGGGAAGTGAGGGGAAAAAAGTTAATTAATTGAAAAAATAACTTAAAAGAAGACAATTTTGAAGAAGAATAGGGTATAGAATAAAAGATGTCATTGTCAGTTGAAGATAGGATTATCCTGGGTCAGTCCTGTGCTCTTGGGTCACAGAATACTCTTTCAAATATCTTTTCTCTCAGGTTTCAGTTACTGACACAAACAGAACACCAGAATATTTCAGAGAAGACCTTATATTTCCAGTTTGGTTTTTCCCCCCTTCTATATGATAAAAAGAGCAAATGCCTGGACGAATACAGAACTCTTGCCACTGAGTAGCTGAAAAGAAATAGAGGAGTAAATAGATCCAAAACTTTGCTTGCCACTGAGCTCACTATAAAAATACAGTATGAAACCCAGCAGGCTTCTGCAAACAGTGTTCCTTTAAGTTAATTAGTATCGTATAGAAAATGAACTCTTCTGCTTATTTACAAAGCTACAGATTTATGTAAAGCAAAACCAATTATACTTAATGCCTAAACTATTCCAGGTGCTCAGTGACAGTGTTGCTGAGCACTGGAGATTAAACTACTCTTTGAAAATGTCTTGTTCTAAATGGAAGAATGCATAGTAGCTTCATTTTAAGATATCATTAATATTATTAAATTTTAGCTTTTTTTGTAGGGTTACTGTTGGTTAACAATTCCATAGGTTATCTTGTATTATATGGAGACAACTAGAGGCTTAATATTTGGGGGTTTTTTGCTATGATTGACACATTAATGAATTACAGAAAGATTAGGATGAAAAAGACAAATTCCCAATTAACAGTAAGATCTATTGAACCGTCCTTATCAGAAGTCCAAGATTGCATTGACTGTCTGATTCCCCTTTAGAAGCCAATTTTGCAATGGTACATTTTGACTTCTACCATAGAAAAGGAATCTTTTTTGTGATGGAGGCCCATAAAGTCCCAAGAGAGTGTGTATGGCTCTTCACTTATCTTTAAAATAGAACTAATTGAGTAAAAGAAACACCTGGAATTTGATAGCAGTAACTTGGCAAAATGAATATGCACACCACACTAAAGTCAGGTTTTGCATGTCTTTTGTTCTACAAATCTAGAATCTTTTATATGCACTCTAAAGGGCTTTATTACTGTAGCAGTAATAGTAAACTTTACTTAGCTTGTGCTTAAATAGCAGATGCTATAGAATAAAATAATGTCTGCTAAGTCTGCCTATCCTTCTTCAGGATTCAAATTGGAAATCAGAGATGGGTTATCTGGCTTTCCAGGCCTCACTTCACTGCAAAGCAGCCACTTTCTCTGTAGATGGCATACTCCAGATATCTAAACCATTATCATATTGGCTGTGGAGACAGAATGAACCTTGGGACTAGGGATTTCCTTCTAGTACCTCTGCTGTGCTTGGCTACTCTGAGCAGTCTTCTGGTCAGTCAATATCCCCATAAACTTTTCTAGTTCTTTCTCTTTTTCCTTAGTTTGCATATTCTCATTAATTCATATAAGCCTGACAAATACTACACAGTCTGAATGTCACCTCTTTTGATCATTGGTTCTTTAGGGGGAACTTAACCTTTAAACTTGGAGCATGTTTTCTAATCATCCAATTCAAATCTTGCTTAGAGTAACATACAGGTAATACACAGATCTATTTGTGATACTCAGAGAAATCTGCCATCTGCTGAGGTGTATTTTATGTTTTCACTTAGAGTGACAAAAATAAAAAATAAGAAACCTTATGGTTAATATTATGAATGTTGTTTTTCAATAGCTATGCTCTTGCTACATCAAGAATACATTATGATTCTTCAGTTTGAAAACTAGCATGATAATATGTATAATATAGGAAGCTCTTTTGTGGCATAGACTAATTAGTTTTATTTTGAAATACCTGTTCACCTAGTAAAATACGCATGTGTAAGCATAATTGTAAAATCTAAATTTCTTTTTTAAAAATATTTTTATTTTTAGTTTCAAATTCTCTCCCTCCCTCCATCCCTTCTCCTACCCATTGAGAAGGCAAGAAATACAATACTGATTATGCACATAAAGTCATGCAAAACATAAAATCTAAATTTCTATAAATCTTTTACAAAAAGAAAAAAGGGATAACAATGACACAAATCTCAAAAATATTGGGTCTTATATCAAGATATACAAATCACTCAGCCTGAAGATTACATATCAAAAACACTGTGATGATATGTCACATCCAGTTTCACAAGGTTGTCTCATAAGCATCAATAGTGGAAGAAGATTCCATGATACTGTCATAATATTTTAGATACTGGTCATTTTGGAGAAGTGTTTCTTCAGGATGGTGTCTCCTGATTCTCTGGTTATGAAATTGATCTAGATTACAGTATCTAAGAAGAAGAGCAGGAGGAGAAAAAGGAGGAAGAAAAGGAAGAAAAAAGAATTATTATTATTATTACTATTGCTATTATTTTCCTATGTTTAATATAAGTGCTATGGCAAATATACATAGCTACTTTCTTCTTCCTTTTTCATTTTCAAATCCTTTTAAAAATTATCAGTCTGGTCTAAAGTGCACCCTCAATTTGAGGAGAATGGATTTCAGATTGTTCAGAGGAATTATCAAGTAGGATCCTTTCTTTGTCACTACTTGTATGACACCGAGTAAATTATTTAATCATATTTTTTTTCAGCTATAAAGGTGGGGAGAGGTTTAGATGGCCTTTAAAAGTCTCTCCTAGCTCTAAATGTATTATTAGATATCATGTGCAAAAATTCTATAGGATAAATTAGCCAAGGGGGAATGGGAAGCTTTTAGGACTGACAAACTAACAAAAGAAAGAGAAACAACTTTATTGAGAAGAGGAAAGGGAGGTTATCTAAACCAGAGGTCCTTAAAAAGTGGATTCCATGAATAACTTTTGGGAGGTCTGTGAATTTTTGTATATTTTGATAACTGTATCTCAGCAAATTATATTCCTTTGTAATTCTATGTATATTATTTTAAATACTTAAAAATCATTATTTTGAGAAGAGGTCTGTGATCCAAAAAAGCAAAGCAAAGCAAAACAAAATAAAAAAAATAACAACAAAAAAACCCCTTGTCTGAAGAGTGAGCAATGCGGAAGCATGGAGAATTCACCAATCAACTCGAAAGACAGGTTGGTAGGTGGACAGGGTAAGCACAAAAGATAGCATGATCATATGACTTAGGAGTACTAAAGCTCAGAGTGAACTAACTCTGATGAGGAAATGAGGGCTTTAAAAAAACTATGTTGGAAAAAAGAAGGGAATCAAAGAAGAATTAGGATGGGGATTCTTCACTTTTTTTCTGTTGTGGACGCTTTAGGCAGTCTGGTGAAGCTTCTGATCCCTTCTCAGAATAATGGTTTCACATATATAAAATAAAATACATAGGGTTTCAAAGGGAATCAACTATATCGGAATGTGGTTATTAGTAAATATTTTTAAAATAGATACCAGGTTAAGAACCCTCGGGTTAGGACAGCTGCTTGCTGGGGATGGCATGATAACTAAAAACCCAGAGAAGTAAGAGTCATTTGATTTTTATTTTAATTGTTTTCTCTGAAAAAGAAAATGATCTTTGGAGTAGAAAAAGAACAAATATGACAAATAGGAAGTTCATACCCAAGACAAATAAGGAGATGGTAAGAAAGCACTTGGCTCCTTTTGATGTATTCAAGTTACCCAGCCTAGGTGAACAATGTCCTTGCATACCGAAAGAATCAGGAGATGTAATTGCTGAGCCCCTGTTAGTGATCTCTGGGGAGAACATGGAGCATTGGAGAGGTACTAAAGCACCAAGGACAAGCAAATGTCCTGATTTTCAAAAAAGGGAAGGGAATTAAAGATACAACCTGTAAGCCAGAGTTTGTTTTTGATTCCTGGGGGAAAATAACCAAATCCTGGAACAATTCAGAGAAAAGCATGGAAGGGAAGTTTTCCAAATTTGTAGATGATGCAGAGCTGGTAGGAAGAGTTCATATATTAGATGAGAGTCAAGATTGAAGAAGAACTTGATAGGCTGGATTATTGGGCTTTATCTAATTGAATTAAATTTAACAGAGATAAAGAGTAAGTTTTATACTTGGTTAAAAATAGCTTTGCAAATAAAAATGTGGGGGTCATGGCTACATAGCAGTTGATTTGAAAAAAGGTCTGGAGGTTTTGGTAGACTGAAAACTCAATATGAGTAAACAGTTTTATATGGCATCCCTCCCCCCCAAAAAAAGCAAATACAGTGTAGGTTAAGATGAACAATAATATATTAGAATAAAGAAATGATACAATGCTTCACTCTGCCTGGATTGAATCACCTGTTGAGTATTGTGTGTAGTTCTGGGCACCACATTTTAGAGATTACACTGATAAAGTAGAGCAGATCCAAAGAAAGGCAAGTAGGATGATGAAACATTTTGAGATCATGCCATTTCAGTATTAGTTAAAGGAATTAGAAATGTTCAGCCTGGAGAAGAGGAAGGTGACGTGACAGCTGCCTTCATGTGTTTGAAGAGCTGCCATCTCAGTAAGGGTTGGAAATTTTGCTGTTTTCCCTAAATGGCAGAACTAGGAACTAGGTAGAAGTTGCAAGCAAAGATTTATTCATAACATAAAAGAAGATTTCCAAACAATTAAAGATTTCCAAACCTGGAATGGGCTGCTTGAAAAGTCAGTGGCTTCTTACTCATTTGAGATTGTCAAGCAGACTGGATGGTCACTTGTTGGGGCTACTATAGAGATGATTCTTTTTAGTTATAGGATATAGTAGATGGCCACTGAAGTTTCTTCCAACACTGAAATTCTGTGATTCTCTGATACCTGCCTATCTAGAAATTCAAATCCCATTGTTGTGGCAGGGAAAAGCAGTGAGAAGCAGAAGAAAAATACAGAGTCAGAATTGGAAGAACAAAATTGTGGTTACTTGGGGGTGGATGAGAGATGGCAAGAAGGAAAGAATTGGGTGAATGGTACAGAGTGATTTTGAGATGTGATTGATAGCTCTTAGGTGGGTGGTAGCACTGAGAGCAAGTAGAAGTACAGACTGATAAGATTGTATAAGTAGGGGGATATTGCTAATTAGTGGGTTGGATTGATGGGAATGAGAATGAGAACATGGATAAATAGGAGAAGAGAGTGCAGCAGTCTCAAGTTGTTGCCTAAATAGGCTTCTGCTGACCTTGAAGTGGACACTGCTGCTTTAAACACTTAAATATAAGTGCCTATGCAGTATTGGATTCCAGGCTACTTATTTAATGATATTTACTTTTAATGCCAATTACTGGCAATTACTATAATTCTTATAATACACGTGGTGAGTCTTTTCTTTTTAAAATATCAATATTTAATGTAGAAAAACTTGCTTTTTAAGAAAGCCTTTAGAATTGAGGAAAATTGAAAAAAATCAATGCAAAGCTGAAAGTCTAAATTTCAACTCATTCCTCTGAATAATCTATATTATATTGTGCTAATATGTTCATTTTTCTATTCATGATACTCAGAGTTCTTGTTGGCTTAGTGATTGTTCCAGGACCAATATTTCATTGAATAAGAAATTGTTCCTACCACCACTGTCTAGTATTTAATTAGGAACTTACCTATGTGAAATGCTCCAGAATCCCAGGATGTCCAACAACATTAATGATGCCAAAAAGAAGAAGGTATTTTCTAAATTGCCTTTGTTTAATGCATTTGGAAACCAATTGCCTGTGTGGAGCAAATGTAATTGTTATTCAACTCCAAAGAAATCACTAAGACTAATCATTATGTAATCCATAGAAATTGATTGATTCACTAATGTCAACAAAACTCTACCAAGTAGCTATTGTTGCTATTTAATTTTATTCTATAACAGACAATAACATAGACCAGACAAGACATTCAGAATATTTTCTGTTATCTTTGAAGGTCAGAATAACTTAATCTCAGGTAACATGGCCTAAGAATCAAGAAATTTTGATATTCATTCAGATTTCATTGTTGTCCATGTGAAAATGGGCACTTCACCTTCTTTTTCTCAATTGCCTTACTTGTAAAATAGAGATAACAATCAGTGAACAATTATATATTAAACACCTACTATGTCCCAGGAACTGTGTTGAGCCCTGGGGATACAAAAAGAGGCAAAAGACAGTCATTGCCCTCCAAGAGCTTGCATCTAATGGGGGAGACGTCATGCAAACAAATGTATACAAGGTTGTTGTTTAGTCATTTTCTTTAGTCACGTCCAACTTTAGTGGCCCAATTTGGCGTTTTCTTGCAAAGGTACTGAAATGGTTTGCCATTTCCCTCTCCAACTCATTATACAGATGACAAAACTGAGGCAAACAAGGGCAAGTGACTTGCCCAGGGTCATGCAGCTAGTAAGTTTCTGAGACTGGATTTGAATTCAGCTCTTCCTGATCCCAGGCCTGGCACTCTATCCTTTGCGCCACCTAGATGTCTATACATATTGGGTAAATAGGAAATAAGTGAGAGGGAAGGCACCAGAATTAAGAGTAGTTGGTGATGGCTTCTAGCAAAAGATGAGATTTTAGTTGAGCCTTAAATGAAACCACACAGGCCTGTTATCAGAGTGGAGAAGAGAGAAAGCATTACAGGGATAGGAGATAGTCAAGGGAAATAGTTGGACCTCACAGTCCTGGAGAGAGAGAGAAGTGTAAAATGAAGCTAGAAAGACAGACTAGGACCAGGTTGTGGAAGGCTTTCAAAGTGAAACAAAGGAGTTTAAATTTGATTCTAGAGGCTATAGGAAGCTACTGGAGTTTACTGACTAGGAGAGTGACATAGTCAGATCTGCACTTACAGAAAATTACCTTGGCAGAAGTGTGGAGGATGTACTGACTTTCCAAGAATCTAGGTCAGAGGTGATAAGAGCCTGAACTAAGGTGTAGCTCTGAGTAGAGAGATAAAGTAAGATAGAAGTGATGCTGTGGAGGTAGAAATTGTAAAGATTTATTGTACAGTCTAATGGGAGACAATATAAAAGCAATCATGTAAAAATAGAATATATACAGGATAAATTGGAGATAATCAATAGACGGAAGATGCTAGCATTAAAGGGGATCAGGAAAGGCTTCCTGTGGGGGAATATGTATGTATATATACATGTACATACACATATACACACACACACACACACACACACACACACACACAAACACACACATATATATATATATATACATATATATATATATATACCACACACACACACAATATGTTGTTCAGTAATTTTTCAGTTGTGTCCAACTCTTTGTGACCTCTTTTGGGGTTTTCTTGGCAGAGATATTGGAGTGGTTTTCCATTTCCTTCTCCATCTCATTTTACAAATGAGGAAACTGAGGCAAACAAGATTAAGTGACTTGCCCAGGATGACACAGCTAGTAAGTATCAGAGGCCAGATTTAAAATCAGGAAGGTGAGTCTCACTAATTCTAGGGCTGGTACTCTATCCACTGCACCACCCAGCTGTCCTTCCTTATATACGTACATACATATATACATAGGTTGTTACAATATAATTTTTCCTTATAATACTGTATATTTTATTTTATTAATTTAAAAACATTATTGTCAAAAGGGGTCCATCAGCTTCATCATACAGTCAAAGGGCTTCATGACACAAAAAGGTTAATAACCTCTGCTCTAAATTATTATTCCCAAAAAGACAAAGTTTCATATGCTTCAGAGAGAAAACAAAACCAATTGCTCTTAGTAATGGGCAGAACATTTCTAGAACATTCTGATATATAAATAGAACAGAGGTTTACAGCATTTGCAAAGTTTTATGAGATAAGGTACTGACTGGTTTTCCTTATGTGTGCTAGAGTGTTAAAGAAGTAATATGACATGTCAGGGTAACGTTTTAGAAAAAGCATACTCCTTTTGGCCAGAGCAGCTGGCAATAATTTTCAAGATAGATGAAAAGAGTTGTGTAAGAGTAGATATCAATGGAAACTAGTAAATTTCAATTCAACAAAAATTTTTATTAAGCTCCTACTATGTGTAAAGTGTTAGAGCCCATGAAATATCTTGGACATACATGATGTAGGTTGTCAATAAATGAACTATAAAATTTTATTTTTTACTTACTTTCTCAGTTTTACAATGCTTGTTATTTCAGCTTATTCTTAAAAGGTGTATTATTATATTAAAACAAACAAACAAATAAATGTTTGTTAAAACATGTATTCAAAAAACCAAACAAATAATTGACAGCCAGTGAATATATGAAAAATCAGCTATGACTGTAGAAGTGGATTCTGATTTTGAACTATGTATTCTCTGTCATTTTATTTTGACATAACTATTATTGTGATTCAACCATGAAAATAAATTTGAATCCATCACACTATTGCAACCATAAATAAAACCAGGTGTCAGATTTTCAAAAAGGTTAATTTTTTGCCATTTCCTTCTATTATTTTATTTAAATTAGAGGGAATAGATGGGATTTCTTTAATATAGGAAGCTTTTGGATGAGGAAACTACCTATAATAACAATAGCAGCTAGCATTTATATGGTACTTTAAGCTTTGCAAAGAACTTCACAAATATTATTTCATTTTATCCTCACAATAACCATGGGGGTGGGAAATCAATGCTATTATTATCTCCATTTTTCAGATGAGGAAACTGAAGCACAGAAAGGTAACATGACCTGTCCAGGATTATGCAGCTAATAAGTGTGTCAGGTTAGATTTGAACTCAGGTCTTCCTGACTCCAAGTCTAGTACTCTATCTACTGCACCACCTAGCAGAACAATTCAGGTCAGCTCAGTTTTCTTTTCAATTTTGTTTAGATCAACATGGGAAATTTCAAGTAAGTTTCTGTATCTATATAAACACCATCTAGATTCTTAAAATTCATGTTCTCGATAGAATGTTTCATTGTTCAGCTGAATGGTTGGTATTAAATAGATATTGTCTTTGTATATATTTCAATTGTATACAAAACGTAAGCATTTAACTTTAGCATAGTCTGTTTGAATGAGAATTTTGGTTTTTGTGGGGAGGAAGAGTATCATTTTACTTCATGATGTACTAGAAAAACTAACCAATGACTAAGGCTTTAGCTTCCAGAATGTATAGAGAACAGTGAGAAGTTTGTAGTGATTTGCCCAATGTATGTCTTTAAAGCCAAAGCCAAGTGATATTTACCTATGTCAACAAATATTTATTAAAGGGGATAAGGAAACTGTCTGTGTGCCTTTCAAGTTAGATATCATAGAGTATAGAAAACACGACAATGTAGGAAATAGAATTGGACATCATCTCAGAGCTGAAAGGAACCATTGATGACCTCTGGTGACACTTGTAGCTGAATAAGAATCCTGTCTACCACATGTTTGAGAAGTAGCCAGCCAGTTTTTACATAGTTAACAACTTCATGTAAAGGAAAACCTAATCTCTTTAAATTCTGCCCTCTAGTGTCAAGAACAGCAAACCTAATCCTTTTCTAGCTTTTCATAGCCCTCCACTCTTTCCCACTCTAAATGTCCCCAAATCTGTCAACTGATCTTTGTATGGAATGAGCTCAAGGTGGTCTCCACCATCTTGGTTGTTTACCTCTAACCATTCTCCAGCTTTTTCAAAGTTCTACCTAAAGTATGGCTCCCAGAACTTAAAACTATACACCAGAAATGATTTGTCCAAGACTGAGTGTAGTGAGCCAACCACCTACTTTCCTGGCCTTGAACAATATGTTTCTTCTAATTCAGCCTGACTGCATTAGCTTTCTTACGTGCCGTGTCACACTATTAACTCATATTGAGTTCACAATCCACTAAACCTCCTCAGACCTTTTTCAGATTGCTCTCTAGAATGTCCCTTCATCCTATTCTTGTGAAACTGATTGTTTAAACCAAGAATAAAAATTTACATTTATCCCTTTAAAATTCCATTGTATTGGATTCAATCCGTGTTTTAGGCTGTCAAGAACTTTCTGATTTCCAGCACTGTCATGCAGTGTGTTAACCATCCCTGCCAACATTGGTGTTACTGTCAGGTTTGATAAGCATGTCAGTTATGACTGTTAAAGATATCCAGAATTTTAGGTGATACAAATTTAGGAAAGGAGCCAGTAATAAAACTCATGACCTCAAATAATTATACAAAAATGGCCAAAGTAGGGGCAACACAGGACCTGAAAGGTGAACCTGAGGTCTTAACACAAAGAGGCAAATTTCACCATATGATTATCATTGAGACTTGGTAGAATGCCACTCAAGATTGATATATGACTCTGGATACGTATGTATTATTCAAAAAGAATGGGATTAGATTAGAGGGGTAGACAGAGTAGCAGTATCTATTAAGTGGTTATGTAGTACTTATGTGGGAAATCTAAGAACCAAAGACATGATGGAGGTCATATAAATGACCATAATAGTAGACATTAATCTAAAGAAACAAAAGCCATTTTCATAAAGAGTGTACTAAAAACAGCTGAGATGGAAAGGACATAGATTGGTAGTTTCAGAAACACCCAAGACTGGAACTATAGCATAGTAAAGACAGTGATAGACTTAAAGTAAGGATAGACCTGGGTTCAAGTCTCGATTCACATACATGCTAGCTGTGTGACTTTGGACTTAACCCTTGAGTATTAGTTTTCTCATTCTGTAAAATAAAAATCATAATAGTATCTACTTGACAAGGTTGTTCTGAGGACCAAGTGAGATTATATATGTAAAGTGCATGGCA